TGTATATCATAGTACGTACGTATGTATGTATGTATGTATGTATATATATATATATATATATATTATAAATATATATATATACATATGTGTGTGTATCTATGTATCTATGTATAATTTCACCGGCCACAAAATCTCCTCACTCTACGGGTTGACTAGCAGTTGAATGTGTTATCAATAAGGGTTCAATAAATAAATATACGAAACACAACACCGTTGAGCTATTATTCTGTGAGAGCTTGATCCTTCCCGGTTTAATCTATGTATGTAATTCGCGTCTACAATACAAGAGACTACCCTAGTGTGTTAACTTCTTTGTTGTAAACAAGGTCCAAGATTCACTACACGTTAAAGGGTGACGTATGAGCACACAGTCCAACTGATTGCAAATAGCTGATGTGGCCCATAGACATCTACATCTATCATCAATTAAGAATCAAAATGCGGAATGCATTGTCTGCGGACCCTGAGGACTGAAATGGAATGCCTCGTTTCCAGTAAAAAGGGTCCCTGGATCTCTACACTCATCATACGAAACACAACAGCATTAACCTGCTATTTTACGCTGGTATTCTGTGAGAGCGTGCTATTCGTGCTCCAACTATAATATAGGTGTAATATGATTCTACAAATATGCGTTATATTATATATACCATCTAGGACTACATCACTGTTTTACCATCAGCTGGTGAAGTAATGACTTATAATAACTTAAAAAATATAGGCGATGTCTGTACATCGCCTATATTTTTACCTTCCTTTACAATTTTACTTTAAAAATTAACCTTCACAATTATACCCCAATAAAGATATAATTATCTTTAAAAATCATTGACATCCTATACTGTAAATAAGCTTTCGTTAAGGGGATATAGTAAGTCAGCTCAAATTCTAATTTCGTCCCCACTTGCCCGCGCGTCGTACGCTATGTACCGACATGTTTGTAATCACTAATACTGTAAGTAGATAAGTCGTTAGACACTTATTTCATTAGGTTTATCATATTTATGCCTGTTTCTTAACGCCAAGCCAGTCGCTTCTTATTTTTATACGGACGCACCTAAGCGGAGTGACCGTGCGCAGGAATCACGCTTCAAGAGGCCATAGTTTAGGTAATTTCTTTTTACAGTGAAAATATTGGTATTTAAAAAAAAGTAAATAACATAGGCACTGCTTTATAGTTAGTTCAGTTAGTATGCAAAGTTTCATGATCTTATTTAAAGTATTTTATGAATAACAGCGGTTTATTGTTTATTTTGGAGGTAACTTTGGATTTTTTTTCTATCGAGAAAATTTTACGAATTCGTGTTTTCGTCTAACATAATCCTTAACATTAATCCTCAACTTTACCATATATTTATTTCAAAATTAATGCTGCAATATTTTCGGCATAACGAAGGATCTTGCTAAGCCATTTGAGATTATATTTCCCCTTAATAAGCAGATACGATAACTACAAATAATTTAATCCAAGCAGTAAACTTCAATGGCTACCGATATGTACATACATTCCATTCCACGACATTCTGATACATTACTATTATTTCCCGCTACTTCTCACAAAGTTTTCTGCAGTACGTAGGGACTTTTTGAAAATATAGCGTAGCATTTGACTTCTTAAAAGTGATTTGCAAAGGTCTTGCCCTAAAACCCTCTCAGAAATGAGGGGAGGCCTGTGCCCAGCAGTGGGACGTATATATGCTATAACTATAACTTTACTTTGACGTACAAGGCCAATCTTATTAAACTTACGCATTTTTGTTACAAATTCTTATACTGGGGAAGAAAGGCTCTCAAACGGCAGCCTTGTTAGCGAAAAGAGATTTTTTTAATATCTAATGTCTCTTTCACAACTAAGATGAGTCTAATGAAAAAAAGAAGAAACGACATAGTTCTATATACCGATCGCTGTAAAACGATATTTGCTTCAGTACAATATGAGAAAGGGGCAGTATACTTATATAATAAAATAAATCCCATTGCACAGCATTGAAGTTAAAAGGAAAACAAAAGAATGAATGACACTTTTAGAAATAATTATTCAAATTGTTATTCATAATTAATAATTTACTAAATATACCACACCTCAACATGCAAACACCATATACTCGTACACTACACAATTACACAACGAACACCTACACATATTTTATATTATATCGTAAAAATACTATAAGCTTTACTCTAAGTCAAAAATCAATGTGTTATCCTAGTTCTAAACACTAATTAATATAAATGCAAGACGGGAAGAGCGGAGCCTAGATTGGAGCTTTGATTTGAACCCCATATGATGAAATTTATATGTTTATGTACAACAGAGCGTGCCAAATAAATAGACATACATACATTCGTAAATTGTTACATACATACGCATAAAAACATAACCCTCCTTTCCGGTTGCCAACCTGCTTGCCAAGCGTGGCTACACTGGTAAATGTAGCATATGAGGCAATCCATGGGGAGACCTAAGTTCCGACTTTTGATATGCTGTAATTACGAATGATAATTATATTATATAACTGAACACACAACGTAAACACTCATGCCTGTCATCCATAGGGGATATATAGACAAAGACTACGGACTTCCATTAGGCACGATCCTGACATACCTCCTTTACTCGTCATGCTCGTCGGTTAAGGGTCCTAATCTGGCCCATTTTCAATATATCGCCAAGTTGGTCGATAAATCTTCGTTTAGGGCGTCCCTTTCCGACTGCCTCGTTCATTCTTTCTACATGACTAAACCACCGAAGCATTGCTTTCTTAACACACAACATCATCTTTCACACCACATTTTTCTCTTATCACACAATTTCTTACCCTGTTATTCAGATTCATCCCTAGCATACTCCTTAAAGACATTACTACAGCATTTGTTTTAATTTCGTGCTTCTACTCCCTCACCCAACATTCACTACCATTAAAGTAATAATAGAGCATAGAACCCCTTTCACTCTATTATATTAATCTCCGTATTTAAAACAGTAATAAAAAATAGTGCTAGAAATTGAACTCCGGTATATGCGTACCAATTTTTTTACAGAATTAAAGTGACCAACGAGCACACAATCCAGCTGATACGAAGTGTACCTATGTTGTGGCCTTTAGACATCATATCTTCGATGAAGAGCTAAAATGCCAATGCGTTGCCACCCCTGAGGACTAAGATGCAATACTTTGTTTTTAGTAAAAAGGGTCTCCGGTTTTCTACACTCACCATACGAAAATCAGCAGCATTAAGCTTCTATTGCAGCTCAGGAGCTAAGTGCTCGATGTAAATTTCACAGTACGTGAGCAATCCGGGTTAGATACCCACCGGCATCAATAAAATTGTTAATTGCTATACTAAGTGCTGATTTACAACGTGGTCGGCGGTGAAGGAAAACATCGTGGGGAAACCTGCATATCTGAGAAATAAGAAAATAAATATGTCGAAGACATGTGAAGTTCGCCAACACGCAGAGGCAGCGCGGTGAACATTTCCTTGCTCTAACACCCTCAGAAATGAGAGGAAGCCAGTGCCCAGCAGTGGGACGTATAAATGCTGTAATTTTACTTAACTTTACTCTTATTCTGTGAAAGTGGGGTACTTCCTGACACATTCGTGCCACAACCGTAATATAGTTGGAGCTCCCCGATGAGCAATTCTAATCAAAATTTATGACGGCATGATCGGCGGCAGTGCTAAAGGTGATGTGACGTCACTAATCCGAATATTATTACTCACCCGATATCGTAATTTTATCAATTACGACTAATATTATACATATAAATAGTGAACCACCGAAATTAAACAGCATTAGGACTTTATACAGGACCTGGGTAAGCTCTTCAATAATTTTTTAATTCTTAGCGTATAGTCCATTTCTTATTTTTATTTTTAAATTTTTATGTTTTTTCATATAAATATAGCGTGTATTTTTTAAGTGTTTGACCCTGAGATTAGTGTGATTAGTAATGTTTATTTTGTTTCACCTATGTCTCTGGCGTTTACTGAAAATCAGTTGTTGTACATATAGTTACCTCTATGTGGTTTCTTTATCATTTCCGCTGAGTAGACGCCTTTTTAGTTCTATTCTATTTAATTATTTTGTTATGTTAATTTGTGTGTATGTTTGGAACTAAATAAATTATTTTATTATTATTATTATCTGATAGTACTTAACTTTTTTTTTGTAAGAGGAAGCAAACGAGCATACGGCTCACTTGATGGTGAATGATTACCGTCGCTCATGAACATCTCCAACACTAATGGAATTGCAGGTGCGTTGCCGGCCTTTTAGAAAGAAGTAGCCTCTTTCTTTAAAGGCCTCTAAGTCGTATCGATCCGGAAAAACTGCTGGCATTCAATTTTAATCCTCAGAGGTTGCAACGCGTCTGTAGCCATTTTTGTTTGAACTTGTCTGAACGTGTCCGCGGACTGCAGTCACCACTTACCATCAAGTGGAATGTAAATTCGTTACATTACTTTTATAAAAAACGCAACTGCGTTACTGTTCACCGCGTTGTCACTCCCAAAAGCTAAGATGTTTTTTACGTTTAAAAGAGTCTTCGGTTCTCTTCATTCCCCATACGAAACACATCAGCATTATACCGATAATTGACGCTTATATTTTGTGCTAGTCAGTCTCTCAAACAAAGAAAGCTAGGAATGCGTTACCACTTCACTTTCTCTCCTTTTTTGTTAGCATTTATGTTTTTTTTGCGTGCAATAAATTGTTATGTATCTTTATGTCTATCTTCTGAGAACTAAGATGGAATACCTCAAAGCCAGTAATTATATTGACTCTTCTTACCCTTCCGACAGGAACACAGCAGTTTCGCATTGCTGTTTAGCGATAGAAATTGGTGAGAGGGTTGTATCTACCGAGACAGACTCCTAGCTGCCTAGGTGACAAAAGTCCTCCTAGGTCTTTTTCACTTCATATCCTGTAATAAGCAGTACTTGTATTCAATAATTGAAATAAAATAAATGTCTTTTCCCCCAGCAACTAAACCAAAATGAAATTTATCGCTGTCTTCGCTGCCATCTTGGCCGTCGCCGCCGGAGCCCAGGTCTCCTGGACCGTGACAGAAGTGTCTGCAGCTTTACAGGACCCCAACACCCATCCAGCTCTCATCCCGTTCCTAGAGCAAGCCCTCAATGAGATGATGCATGCGATCGACGCTGGATACCCTGCTGTAAGACCTAACAGTATTTTAAATGAGTATTTTAATGCTACCCGCATTCGATTACTACTGAAATCAATAAAATTGATCATTGCAAAATTACTCGTCGGTGAAGAAAAACATCGTGTAGAAACATGAATGTCCATAATAATGAAATATTTCGAGGGCATAATTCGGGCAACATGCAGACAAATCGCTACACGCTGTCAAAATGAAAGTAGAAATTCCAAACAGTGGGACGTGCTGTAACTTAATTTTACCTTATTTACAAACTAACCGTGCATATATTTGATAAGCGATGTCGCTAAATCCTTTTACTAAGAGCTATTTTCCGCCTTCCCGCCCTTTGTTCTAACACGATTTATTTAGTTTCACGTGTATCTACCTATGTAACGGAATCTTTTAATGCAGTTTTCGGCAACTTGTGGCGGCTGTTTGACTTGAAAATTTGCACTCGTATAAAAGATTGACGATAATACGAGTACAATAAATATAACTTTATAAATATCAAACAATATAATTTAATAGCTTTATCCTAGTGTCCTGATCAGGATCACAAGGATAAAATAAAATAATTATCAGCACCATCACAGCTCATGAGCAATGAGTGTTGTTTTAGACTATTATATTATTATTAATTAAAGTTTTGCTACACCATTACCGACTTCATTTAGAATTTAATAAAGATGTATTTCTTTTCTTATCCGACTGTCCCAGAAGGAGTGTAGTGTTTTTCGAGATTATGTATGTATGTGTGTCTGTCCATATCTTTGGCACGTTTTGTAGCTTAAGGGGAAATATAACATCAAATGGCTTAGGCAAGATCCTTCGTTATGCCGAAAGTATTGCAGCATTAATTTTGAAATAAATATATGGTAAAATTGAGGATTAATGTTAACGACTATGTTAGACGAAAACACGATTCCTTAGAATTTTCTTGATGGAAAAAAAATCCAAAGTTACCTCCAAACTGAACAATAAACCGCTGTTATTCATAAAATACTTTAAATAAGACCATGAAGCTTTGCATACTAACTGAACTAACTATAAAGCAGTGCTTATTTTATTTACTTTTTTTAAATACCATTATTTTCACTGTAAAAAGAAATTACCTAAACTATCGGCGTCTTGAAGCTTGATTCCTGTCGCCCCGTTAGTATCGCTTAGACTTTAGAAGGGAGAAGTTGTGTCGCTTACGATCAAAATACACATTACGCAACAGGACGACGTAAAATTAAAATGAGAAATAACCGTGATAAAAATAAGAAGCGCCTGGCTTGGCGTTAAGAAACAGGCATAAATATGATAAACCGAATGAAATAAGTGTCTAACGACCTTTCTACTTACAGTATTGTAATTGACAGGCCTGTTGGTCTAGTGGTTAGTGACCCTGACTGCTATGCCGGAGGTCGTGGGTTCGATTCCCACCCAGGACAAATGTTTGTGTGATGAGCACGATCATTTGTTCTGTGTCTGGGTGTAATTTATCTATAATATTTATGTATTTAGAAATATATAAGTATGTTTATCAGTTGTCTAGTACCCATAACACAAGCTCTGCTTAGCTTGGGACTAGATGGCGTTGTGTGATAGTTGTGGAATATTATTATTATTATTTATTATTAGTATTAGTGATTACAAACATGTCGGTACATAGCATACGATGCGCGGGGAAGTGGGGGCGAAATTTGAATTTGAGCTGACTTACTATATCCCCTTAAACATAATATAGGCTATCGTTAGATTTTCTTAGTACAATGGTTTCCCAGTCGGGTTTATATTAATTACTGTTTTAATCTATACGCTTGTTTCTTTCTTTCACCTAGTTAATAAGACATAATATTTTTTCAGCATGCTGTCCAAGTAGCTGTACCCGTTGTTTCCACATGGACCCTCCAAGAACTTGACGCGGCTCTGAATGACCCTACCACCAACCCAGCACTGATTCCTTACTTGGAGCATGCTCTCAACGAGATCATGGATGCTATAGTATCAGGACAGGACATTGTAAGTGGCACTTAATGTTGGAGTACTGTCTTCCCCGTCTTAGGTTTTCTTTATATGCAGTAAGTGTGACCAGCTAGCTTTTAGTCCATCGGATGCTGGGGTGCAAAGACCTATCTAGCCTCGATTAAGCATCAAACACATACATTGTCACCCTCGATCAATAAGATAGTATGCCCCAGTAAAACTAATGTAATAAACACACCTTAACTCTAGTCACTCCAACTATGTAGTGGCGGTGTTACAATATCCACTGCCCCGTATAGTCCCGTGGGTATCGTCGGAGACGTCAGAGAGAAAATTAGGAGCAGCATTTTCCCGAAAAACTCATAATAATTTATAAAAACGGCCAAGCGTGGTTACTATAGCAACATCCACCCAGTGAGGCAATCTATGTGGGAAGCTTACGTTCAACAGTGGGCTTTAAAGACTAATGGAAGTTGAATATTTCCTTTTCAATAGAGAAAGTAAGCATTTGCAGACTACTTGATCAAAATGGGTACTTTAGCCAATGGACGTCACTAAACAACTTCATACAATATTTTTTATCAAATATCGTTAACAATCGAGCACCAACCCACCAACCCACCTGATGGTAAGTGGATGCTGTGGTCCATAGACATCCACATTTATCCCCAATTGATAATCAAAATGCAAATGCGTTGTCACCCCCGAGGACTAAGATGGAATGCCTCGTTTCCAGTAAAAGGGTCTCCGGATCTCTACACTCACCATACCTAAGACAGCAAACGCTGCTATTTTACGCTGGTATTCTGTGAGAGCGTGGTTCTGCCCCGGTCGAGCCGACCCATTCATGCTACAACTATAGTATACCTGCAGTGTGGCTCTACCTCGTGAAACAGATACGGCCACCCTGACTTAGATGAATTGCCTCAAAGCCTTTAAATATTCAGGCTTACTTTTAAAGCGCTATTTTGTCTGGTATTCTGTGAGAGCGTGATCCTTCACCGGTCGAGTCGACCCGTTCGCTCTACAACTATAATAAATTGTTAATGATAATAATTTCCACGACAATTCACTCATATATATTATATATCTATATATTCTTCCAGGCAGCTGTTCCTGTTTTAATTCCTGCCGCCCTTGCCCCCGTGGAGGCAGAGACTCCCATCATGCCCGTACCGGTACCTGCTCCAATTGTTATACCTGGCCCCAGCCCAGCGCCGGTACCTGCTCCAGTTGCCAACCCCGATCTCAGCCCAGCGCCCGCTTCCTCCAGTCCCTTGGTGCAGATCATCATCAACATCAACAAGCAAGAACAGGTAGGATTGAAAATAATTGAATTAAATATTACAGTTGCCTTTTTACTTTTAATGTCTTCCACTTAAATAGCAGTCCACGGTTGGGCATGGGCCTTATGTTCTATAATTGTAGAATATAATTACGACCTATATCGCGTACATATACTTTTTAAACGTTACCTACAATTACCTAGGATTTTCTCTTGTATTGTGAAGGTTTTATACATAATTGCATGGACAAACATCGCGACCAGGAATACGTTTGTAGGCCATACAATACAAACACTTATTTTGTCCGGGATTTGATTCCGCGGTCCCGCAGTCTAACGTTTTGCTACTGCAATAGCCTACCGTCAATATCAATATAATATATGGATGTGACTTGCGGTATGTCCTGCGTAGCCAACTTTCACAAATATCTAAAAGATGTTACCGTGACCGATCGACAGGTACCGACCGATTGGCTGAAGCATAAAATAGAATAGAATAGAATAATTTTTATTCAATATTGATTACAAAAATACTTATTGAAATCGTTTAAGCTTTCCCACTGGTTCCGAAAAAACCTCTTACCTAGGAGAAGCTAGTAAGAAAGCCATGGCTTTAACTTTTTTTATTTATAACATAATATTTTATACAATTAGTAAACTAACATTTAGAAAACAGACATAAATTTCTTGTTGTTGTTTCAGGCCGCTTCTCCCGCGATCCAGGCTCCCGAAATCACCCCCACTCCCGTGTCAGTAGTCGAGCAGGCTGAGGACAACTCCTTCAACCCCGTCGACTTTATCCTTCCCGGTGGCGTCGCTATTAACCCCATCGTTCCTGAACCAGTAGTCGGACCCATCGTTTAAATTGTATAAATCATTTGCTATACTTGTAATGAGATTTATAAATGATATTTTTTAAGAGGTTTGTTTTAATTCGTCGTCACTATCATAAATGTTATCAATATCATAAGTGCTTTGGCATATGGACTGACACAATTTTTTACCTCGCCTACGCGGATCCCAGATGTAGAAGATCATGTACCTTTCCTGTTGGACCATCTGCTGACCTCTCATCCGGACGCATATCAGGTCTCCGTCGATGCCCCTCTTGGCTCCTCGGACCATTGTCTGATCCGGAGCACGGTGCCACTCACGCTCCCATCGCGGTTACGTACTGCAGGTTGCCGCCGTGTTTGGCATTATAGGTCAGCCGATTGGGACGGGATGCGATCTTTTTTTGCATCCTGCCCTTGGTTCGCTTCTCGCCGGATGATCCCAGTGTTGTTGCTGATTTTGTCACTGATGTGGTGCTACAGGGAATAGAACTTTTTATTCCATCATCCTAACCTGGTGGTACCTATCGGAGGCAGAACCCTACTCCCTAGGTGTAGTCCCGAAATCATGGAAGACAGCCTTCGTGCACCCAATCCCTAAAAAGGTAACCACCCTGATCCGTCCAACTATAAGCCTATCGCCATCACCTCCTTGTTCTCTAAAGTAAGGGAATCCACTATTAACAGCCAGCTCATGCGGTACCTTGAGAATCTCCAGCTGATTAGTGAACGCCAGTACGGTTTCCGTCGCGTTCGTTCGGCTGGTGATCTTCTGGTTTTTTTTTGTGCGAGCAGTTATGCCCAGGGGGGCCAGTATCACTGCGACCTAAAAGATCTATTGTGATCGCTGCTAAGGCTACAGTTTACCGCTAAGCCCTATGTATTCAATGAATAGAAGGAGTTGCTTAGCCGTGGGCAATTTCACTTCTTCTGGGCGGAGTACATAGTTTACCAGATGATTGCTACGTTTGCGCATTAAGGGTCCGCGATCAATTAGGATGTGCAGAGGTGTTTCTTCCGTTATGAAACAGAACCGAGAAATCCTTAAGTTGCTGAGTCCCAGGATGGACATGTGATTTTTAAGACAACTGTGTCCGGATAGGGCTCTTGCCAGAATATGTAATTTATTTTTACTTAATACCAGGGCTTCTGAAACGAATTTACGATCAAAAACCTGGATTAAGGTTTTAGAATGTTTTAAGCCTGGTGTGTCAGACCAGATCTTAAGTGTTTTTATTGTGATAGTTTCAAGGATCAATCGGGCTAGGCTTCTTGAGATTCCACAAAATAGCTCAGGTCCAAATTTTATACTCTTTGAGCCCTCCCGTGCAAGTTTGTCGGCAAATTCGTTGCCTACAATACCCCAGTGACCCGGAACTAGGGTTGCTAGGTCTTTAAACCGAAAAGCCGGACAGACCATCCAGCTTAGCCCGACATTTCGGTAAAAAGGTCGGACACCCTTAATTATTCAGTCTTAGTATAACACAATAATATATTTTTTAAAGTAAAATAATGCTTGCATCATTTACCATAAAATCTTAAATTAAAATTGAATGAATCAGTGTTCGTTATTATTAATCATTCAATATTTATAACAATAACAATTTCAATAATTGCAATAGTATGTATTTAGGTACATGATAAAATATAAAAAGACTAACAAAAGCCGGACAGGTCGGACACCGTCTAATATGGCAGGACACGCAATCAAAAAGCCTGACTGTTATCCGGACGCCTGGCAACGCTACCCGGGACGCATCTTACAGCCTAGCCACGGGACATTCGCCGTAGCGAAAATTCGCGCGGTTCGAATGGCGAGGCGTCTAGCGACTAAAACAAATGTATAGAAATGTATGGATCAAGCCACGCGTAGCGGCGAGTGGCAAAGCGACTGCGGCGCGGCGGGCGACTGAAACAAATGTACTCGTATTAATCAGTACGGTGCGAAGCGGCGAATAGTATAGGGAACATAATATTTTAGTTGTTTTCGCCGCAAAAAATGTCGGGCCGACAAAAACAACTTAAAATTCTTTCCGCATTGATTTTTTTCTCCAATTCTGGTTGAATATTAACAAGAATATAATCGCAGCATTCGACACTCATTCTGAGTATTTACTCGAATTTTTTTTCTAGATGCTTTCTGTATTTGTTGTGGAATTCTCCACCTATATCCCGATTCCTATTCAAATCATGTACGCCGAAATCTCTTCCAAATATTATGTCTTGAATCAAAAAACAATTACTATCTAAGCAGTATCGAGATAACTTTGATAAAGACATTTCACTCTCGGCCTATCTGGTCGCAGCGGATAACTTGACTGCCCGTGGCCCTCAAATCGCGCCGCGCGAATTGTCGCCCCGCCTGTCGCTTCGCTGTTCGTGCCGCCGATCCCCATGGCCAGGCCGTTAGGACTGCCGACCGCAATTTAGTTGTCGCTTTTGTCTATTTTCCAATTATACTTATGATATAAGACGACCCTGTTGTTACATCCAAGGGCTTTTAAACGGTTCACGCAGCCTCCAATTAGCTTCGAGTTCACTAAGTTTGACCTCAGCGCTAGCAGTACTGCTTGACTATCAAAATTTATATAAATTATATAGTTCACATAGTATTTTTGCAGATTGCTTTCCGCACACCGAAGTATGGCAAATATTTCTGCCTGAAAAATAGAGGTGAATCTACCCAAATTCATACTAAGTATGAATTTGGGGCGTTCCCCGTAAATTTCAAATCCTAAGTTGAGGCCCATTTTAGACCCATCGGTATACCATATGAGACTACCGACCCCACAGATAACCTTGCCATTCAGCCAGTTTTCTCTGGAGGGTAGTTCCACTATAAACTTTTTATCAAAAGTGTGTAGTGGACGCATGATATCTGAGATCATGCATAAGACTGGTGTTTCCTTAATTAAGTCGAGCATGGACCTCCATAGGAGAGCAAGCTCGCGGTCTTACCTTTAATCCTATACAAACCAGCCTTCGCCTCCGTGTCTAGATAAAGATCAAGGGGCGTTAGGCATAGAAGTACATTAAAAGCCGCTCCAGGCGACGATCGCATAGCTCTAGTTGTCATTAAGCAGGCAGTCCTTTGTAGACTATTTAGTCTGTCCGCAGTCATCTTTTGGTTGACCTTGTTGCACCAGACAATGGAGACGTAGGTAAGAACTGGCCTCATTATGCTACTCTACAGCCATAGGACCATACTTGGACGTAAGCCCCAGTTGTTCCCGACCAAACGACTGCACGTACCTAAAGAAATTTTTGCCTTATGGCATACGTTGCTAAAATGAGAGTTCCACGTTAGTTTTTGGTCGATTGTTACGCCCAAGTACATAACTTTAGTGGAAAATGGTACTCAATGGTAATGGTAACATTGTGTTTTGGTGTGACTAATTTATCCAACCGTTTCGTTCTGGTAAAGGGTATTAAAACAGTTTTATCAGCATTAACTAATAAACTGTTATACCTACACCAGTTATTTATGGAGTTTAGGGCTCTTTGCACGATTGTCGATAAAGTAGATGCGCAACTCAATTCATTTTCTGTTAAGTTGTACCTTGCTTGTAGATCTAGCGCTTTCAGGTTCTCCCTTAGAGGAGTGCTATGTTTTGAATGAGAAGACATTTTGATTTCTTTCATAATGTTATTTATTTAGAGGTTTTTCGTAATTATTTTGCATGATTTCTTTGCATGTATCAACAGAGGAGACGAACGAACCATACGATATGTTGAAGTTTAGTGTTTAGATTACTTCAGTGTTTTTGAAAGCTCTATGATTATTAATAGTAATATATATCTCGGAACACTAGCAGACGAGTTTCCTATAAAAAGAGGGGTCAGACAAGGTGACCCTGTTTCACCAAAGCTGTTTTCTTTGGCTCTAGAATATATATTTCGACACATAAACTGGGATATAATGAGCTTAAACATAAATGGAAGAACGTTTTATTCGAAGAGAATCCCAAGACACTTGAGAGAATGTTACAACATCTGTCAAACGAAAGTAAAAAAGCTGGTTTAGAAACGAACATCGAGAAAACCTAAATAATGTCCAATGGAGATCAGATACCAATAGTTGTTGAAGGTGAAGTACTAAAATACGTGGGAGAATACACTTACTTAGGCCAAATCGTATCACCGAAAGCCCTAGCTTCCTAGGAAATAAATAAAAGAATACCGAATGGTTGGAAAATGTATTGGTCACTAAAAGAAATAATGAAGAGCAAAGAGTTGGGAATGGCAGGAAAACGAAAAGTGCGAATCTGGGGCCCTCACAGCTTCACACAGAAATAAATTGTTAACGTGCAAACGAGCAATGGAGAGAAGCATGATTGGTATCGAGAAAACCAACCGGGTTAGGAACGAAAACAATCGAAATAAAACCCAAGTATAATATATTACAAAGAATAAACTTACAAAAGTGGAGATAGACTGCACACATGCTCGGGAACCGTCAAGAAAAATGGAGCCAAATTGTCACAAATTAGTATCCAAGAGATGGCAAAAGAAGAAGAGGTGGGCAACGTAGAAGGTGGGAAGATGATTTAAAAATATACGGCTGGACCTTAATGGAGACGATTAACACTCGGCCGGAAACAATGGAAAAGTCTGAAGGAGGCCTTTGTCAATAGACGTTCCGAAATCAGGGACTTTATATAGTAAATATATTGTTATGCTAATAGTTTCCTTATGCTAAGTCTTGTTTTAAAATTCATATCATCACACCCACACCGACAAGCCCCCAACGAAGCACACAACCGCCGCAGCCCTACATCCCGCTTCCAAAGGCAACCCCAAGGGCCCCACCCCGCCCCCCGGCACGTACACAAAAGACCACCCCCACGAGCCCACCAGCCCCGAGGAGCCCAATTAATTTAAATATTTAATCATAATAAATTAAATAAATGTAATTGTTCTGATTAATTTATATAAGATGTAATATAAAATTTATTCATAGCAAAACTTATTCATTAATTAGTAAACTTTTAAATGTCCTAATGTGTTATCTAATTCACAATAAATCTGTAG